TCGTTCTGTCTTCCAGGGGGACTGCACCATCCGGTATTTTGAAGTGACAGACGAATCTCCATATGTCCACTTCCTTAGCTTATACAGCAGCAAAGAGCCTCAGAGGGGGGCCGGCTTTCTCAGTAAAAGAGGTGTGGATGTCAACAAGTGTGAAATTGCAAGGTAAATATGTGAAATAATTCCAGTTGGCCTTCTGGCTGACTGCCTGAGTTCACAACAGAGCGGCCAAACTGGGGTTCTGATTAATGCAGTGGTGGCATGTTTGTGTGCGCACACACTCATGTCCAAATATAATTTATTTACTTCCTCAGTCCTGAAATCAAATACTCAAATTAGTGAGTTATATTAGTTATATCCCTTTGCAAATGTGTGGTTCTCATTTGGTGAATAAACATATCTGAGTGGCAACATTACAATCTTCCACGCTTTCTTCAACAAGTAATTAAAAAAGATGCGTCACAAAAGTCAGCGTGTGAAGTCTCAACAAAATAATTCTGCTGCATTGAAATGCCACAGTTGTTGAGGATTATGATGGTACCTGGGACAGCCAATCATTTTTCAAGGGGGGGGGGGGGCAATGCCACCCCACGCCCTCCCCTTGACATGACCCATTGTTAGCACTAAGTGATCATGTATTATAAATAACTTACAAGCAAATACAGATGGTAATGAAGGATTTTCTGGTCTCCTGTAGGTTCTACAAACTCCATGAAAGAAAAGTGGAACCCATTTCAATGACTGTACCACGGAAGGTAACAAATGCTCTGCCTTAAAATATAAATCTTTCAAGATTTTTTATTTATAACACTTAGTATTGAAATGGACTTTCAAGCCTTTTTATACCTCTAATTAAACAACGTCCTGTTGCCTCCTCAGTCGGATCTGTTCCAGGGAGACCTTTACCCCGACACGGCTGGCTCGGAGCCGGCCCTCCTGGCGGATGAGTGGATCGCTGGCCAGGATGCAGCACCCCTGTTGGTCTCTTTGAGTGGAGGGTACTCGGCTCCTCCATCCAAGCAAAGAGACACCCTCAGAGTCAAACCCAAGCTGGTGTCACAGGACTCTGGGACCGGGGCTGCCCCGACCTCGACCGGCAGTGTAGCGTCTCCCACGTCTACATCTGCCGAGGACGAGGTGCCACGAGTAGCCACAGCCGAAGGAAATAGTGACAGGCCAAAACGAGAGGTGAGTCGAAGAAGTCCCTTTGCACGACTTACGGCCTTTTATTTTTTAAATGAGTTGTTTTTCTGATTTCTTGATTCCCTCCTTGCAGGACGAGCTGTTGACCGAGTTGTTAGCAGAAATGAAAGCCCTGCGTGCCGTCGTCCTCGCCCAAAGCCAGAGAATCGAGCTGCTGGAGAGACAGCTGGCTCGGATAGAGGACGGGGATGTATGAGCGACGGTTGGAGAACCACTACATTCGCAGGGCGTTATTACTTATAGTCCATAGCCTTACTAGTATCAACAGTACCTTAAAGCTGTGTTGAGTGGGGGAATGTAGTGTGGTGGGGGGGGGGGGGTGCAGCAACAACCAGGTCAGCTGTTGTGATGGAAGCGAGACGGCGGTTTGTTTATGTGATAGTTATCCAAACTGCGGCAGAGAATTGGGCATCATCTGCATCAAGTGATACACATGATAGTGAGAAAATGTTTTGTTATTCATATGAAGGAGTGTTGTAGCAGCTTTTTTGGTGGTGCATAGTACATTTTTCCAGCTTTGCAGAATTCCTTGCGTTACATTTGAAGGGCTGCAGAGGAGCTGTGTTGACACCATTGCCTCAAATTAATGCACAAATAAGTGATGAAAAAGTAGACTCGTCGACTTACTATAGCAAAGCGATTAGTTACCTCTAATATAATTTTTTTTCCTCTATTAAGCACTACAAATATAACCATTTGTGCGAATTAATCAGGTAATTACAGCTGCTTTATCGTGATGTCATATCAGAACCCCAATTGTTAACTCATCGTGTGACTTGTACTTCATTTCACTACTTCATAGAAAGCAGTTTGTACGGTAGGAAGAACCCTCTGGTACAGAAGTCATGACCTTGACAGTGAGAATTATGTGGAGGGAAAAAATAGCTGAAGAGTGTGTAGTTGAATATGTATGAGTATTGTAATTATCTGTGTAGTCTTTGAAAAGCTCTACCTTGTGATTTTGTACCTTGGGGGGGGGGGGGGCGGTGAGCTGAAATGAGAGTTGTGTTATAAACATTACATGCACTAATAAGTGAAGTCTCACTAACGTACAATAGCATTGCTCCAAATAGCAGTTCAGTGTTTCCAGCCACAAGAAAGAGGAAGTTAAAGTGAAATGTGAAACATTTTATACTGTTTGAAAATTGCATTCTATTGTTTAAAGGTGGAATGTTGTCTTTGATTTTGGTTTATTGTAGTATTGTAGTTTTTTTTTCTTTTCTTTTTTTCTTTTCTTTTTTTTGCTGTTAAATGAAGACACATTCATCTGTCACGTCTCAATAGTCGATGTAACAATGGTACATTCCACATCATGTTCTCTAATTTAGCTAATTTATATTTCTTTATGCACTGACCTCTTCACACTAACTGTAAAACAAGTAGCAATGACACTACTGTTAAAGCTCAATAAACATTCTTTTCTCCTTTGTATTAACTGAATGACTTTCATTTATGTTTTGATCATGAAAGTCTTTGTGGAGTCTTCTTGAACCACCCTAAGGGGGCCCCATCTGACAGCACTCACTAAGCGTTGCATGCATCATTGCTGTGAAACCCAAAGTTTGTCAGTGAAAGTAAAAGAAATGAAGAGGAATTATCCTTCTATAGGAGAGAAAAATTATCCTTTATCCTGCTTTTTTTTTTAGACACTCGATATGCCAATTTTCTTCCAGCTTCTAGGGCTATGTAAGGAATTTGTGACCTGAATTAATCATGAGTACCGGTCATTAAAAAAAATTAGTAAGTCTCAATTTGAATTGGGCTTCACAAGTGGATTCTTCATTGGACCTTGTTCCATGTCAAGGTACGACAGATGACAGCCAACGCCATGTCAGAGCAGAGACTAATATAATACTATGAGCAATGAAAATGGCTCTATATGACTTGCCGCCAGAGTTTAATGTGGCCTGTTTGCAAAAAGCCTTGCAACTACCAATGCATGACGCATCGAAAAATGTGGTCTGACACAACACTAAAACTAAACTCAGCAGACTGCAAAACAAACATGAGGAAAAGTCATGCATGAGAGTAGCTGATGATGGTATCATAACTGATGGTGGTGACAAAGGTCTTTGTGTTGTGTTGGTATGAGCCTGTAGTAAGGACAAAGTGATACGCCTGAATTGATTACATAAACATTTTAAAGGTGCTGTGATGATTTTGAAGTGGTTATGAAACACATTGAAATGAATACCTGTGCTTCTACATGAGCTATGAAAGCAAACCAGACGATCAGCAACACGATTGATCATTTCTAGTGTTTTTAATGCCTTAAATTGCTGCTGAGGGGTAGGTGTCAGACAAAATAACAACACGCTGCTGAAACTGTTTTTGTTATCTCTTTCCTCAGCAAAGATTCACTGCAAATTGAGCAGGATGAAATATATCATTAGAAAACAGTACTTACACATGTACAGGACAAGATCGGCAGAGGTACCACTTTGTCCACAGGGGGCGCCAGACCCAAAGTTCCCAGAAGCTTTAAAATCCTTTTTCGCAAAACAATTATTTATTTATTTATCAGAATCCCTCAAAGAGAAAAAAAAGAAACATCTTAACAGGGCAAAGAGCGCTTGAGTAAACACCTTACTGTTGCTAGGTTGCAAAAGTTAACTTGCCCTTCACCTTGGTAGTGACTGTTACAATTATAGGTCTGTTTTAGGTAATATTTGTTTGTTATTTCAAGGGAATATCCCCAAGAAAACATGAAATAATGTTCAGGGATCATGTAGAAATAAGCTCTACTCCTGGGCCGCCAAAAAGACAAGTCAGATTGCTTCTTCCTCCACCATTGCTGTTTCCAAAACTGGTAACAAGTCCCTCCCCTTCTTGATTCTGATTGGTTGGCGGGGGAAAAGTGACACTAAAGCGCGCGGCTGTGTTTAAAAAAGTTTAACTTTTTTGAACTACGAGCGTTGTGACTTTTTAAGCTGAGGTCACAGAGTGCTGAAAACAATAAACTGCATTGGTCTTAATCATGATATTTAATGGCACTTGAATGGATGATGGCAAATTCCCACTGTGGTTAGTCTGTTTTTAAATTGTCATTTTTTTATGAATACACACCACACACTCTTGTGTATCTGCTCTGTTAAAGTGTACAAAAGTAATTGTAAAGATATGCTTCAGCTGTTTGATGTACAGTCTGTGGCTTGAAAACAGGATGTGGCCACCAACTCACACTCACAATCTGTGTGCAGGTTTTGAACTGGATGTGTTCTTAGGTACAAATCTTGATTAGGTGTTTATTAATAATCTAATTCAAAGGGTTCACGTTTGTATTTGTGCTGTGGTGAACCGAGAGGGACAGTTTAACTTTTGTTTGGCCCTCTGTTCATCCGTTGGTTTTATCTCACTTTTGAGATTTCAGATAGTTTCTGACTGTACATGATCTGTCTCCTGTATATCTCTCATTTGTTGATGCAACCACAACATTTTGTTTGTCTTACTGTGAATGACAGTGTCAACCAATAGAAAAAAAAATACATCATTTCAGCAATGTTTCTTTTTGTTTAAACACTCTGGCTCACCAGTTACTCCCAACAAAATATCACCTTTGAATGTATCACAGGAAATACATTTACTGAATCATTTCTAGGGGTTGGTTTCCGGTCCGTAGAAACAGACCTTTTGAAATATACATTTTATTGTGTAACCTGCAACCTGCAAATTAAAATCACTCTCGAAAAATAAATACATCTGCATCTTCCTCTTTTTATAAATACATAAACTTATCTGTGCTTTCCACCACACCCTGTTTGACATGTCTTCAATCACCCACTGCAGCCTCCACCTCTTTCAGCTTTATACCTCCCCACATGTCACGCATCAACCCCACTCTCGTCTTCACACCCAGTCACACTGTTCAAAAGTACCTCAAGTGAACCGTATCTGCGAACAACTGGAGTAAGTGTTTGTTTATTTTCTTCCTTTTTTCATTAATTTAATCAGCTTCTTAAATCATATTTTTTGCCGCACAACTTGCTTTTTCATAATCATGAGGCAAATCCTCCGTGTTTTGTGTGTTTTTTCTTCTTCTTCAGCTACGTGTACATCTGATCTTTATATTTCTGTGTTTAAACATGTGAATCTTGAATTGAATTAACCGTGAAATGGTTGTATAAAACCAGCAGCACAGGCTTTAATTAAGTTTTTATCCTTTTGAGTTTCAACTTTATCTGCACTTCAAGCCCATTTAGTATTGTTGCTTTTTTTTTTAATCTTTCATCATGTTGCAACACTTTTACATCTCAATTTGACACATTAACTATGAGTTCAAAAGTTTCCTTGCAAGGCACACTGACTGATGCTGCTCGATGATCATATAGACAGGAAACCGACAACAGTGCGAGCAGCCTGCTGGTTTCCTGTCACTCCACAGCCAGTCAGCCTTCAAAAAAAGAAGATAAAAAGCAATACACACTTCCTGTTACATCTCCACTGCGCGTACAAACATATATCACTTATAAGCCTGTGGTTGCATTTCTGCTGGTGTGGACGGTAACTTTCTGACTATTAGGGTATCAAATAGATGTTATTTTTTTGTTCAGATTAAGCAGCTGCCTGAATATAATAAGACAGTGGAATCGTTTTTCAAAGGTGAATTATTTGCATTTCTTGCCGCTATGCTTCATTTTGAGTTGGTTATACCTGAAATGCCACTACAAATTAAACAATATTAATATGAATCAAAAATATTCTGCTTTAAATCTGTCCAAATGATGGCATCATATTTCTCATGTAAATCACTGTTATTTACTTTTTTTTTTTTTGTCTGCTTTTTAGTAACTGAGGATTGTTTCCACCAATGGATGTCCTTCTAATGAAAACTTGATGACCGCTTAGAGTGTACTAGGAGTTTGACTTCAAGGGACTGCCTGTAACTTTGACACCGAGCCAGAGGGATTTTAAACCTTTCTTTCTAAGAAGGTAAAGAACATTTCTTGTTTATTTGTCTCAGTATGAAGGATTTACAGCTTTATAACATTCCTAAAGATCTTGAAAAACAATATCAGCAGGTTTAAGATTGGCTCAAAGAGGCAACATAATGGTTTTGATTGCACTTCAGAAAACATGCAAACTAAATGTGAATATTGCTGGCATCACTTGATCTGCATTGATATGACCTGTTTAAAGGTCACATATTATACTACTTTTCAAACAGTTTAAATAAGTCTCAGAGCTCCCCAAAACATGTCAATGAAGTTTCTTGTTATAAATCCACTCTGATCCTGTATTTGATCATGCCTATAAACCCCTCTAGTTCAGCCCTGCTCTGTGTCTGTAACTTTAAATGTAAGTGAGCTGTGTTCAATCACGCTCCTCTAGAAGGGCTTGGGCATTCTTGCACCTCGCCCTATTGTTCACGGTTAGAAAGCAGACTCAGAGGGCAGAACAAACACCTAGCTGTGGGAGTGTCACCCACCTGGGGGAGGGGTTACTGCCCTTTGTGATGTCATGAACGGCCTGTTTGAGCACAAATTTGCTGAAAAGTGGAGTAGGCAAAAGACGGGGGGGTTTCTAGACAGACACTATGGAAAGCTGGCTCTTTCCAAAGGCAGAACACCCCCCCCCCCACTAACACATCTAATGTTGTTTAATTCATATAAAAGTTTCAATGTCAAAATGCAGTTTTAAGAGGCGTGGTGCTTGAATATTTCCTTTAGTTTCACGCTGTTTGACAAAGCTGCTAGCTGTTTCTTTCGGTTTTGGCTCTAAACCACCAATATGCTAACGTGCTGTTTAAGCTGAATATTAACACTGGAGGGGTATAAGTGGCTAGAAAATGACCATAAAACATTTTTTCTTTCTTTCAGACATGGCTGACGTTGCCGAAAACTCCAATACGACCGTGCTAATCCTCTTTTTCTGCCTCTTTGGCTTAATCTTACTGCTATTTTTCTTGTACAAGAAGTTAAACAAGGACGCCAATGGAAAATATACCATCCGACGCATGGTGTATAAGAAAGGAGGGGTCAGGGACCGGGTCAGAGGTGTAGCCTTGGCTCTGGAGACACGTCTCGGAGTCCAGCTGTGGCCTCGCAGTGAATCTGACAACGAAGACGGAGAAGAAATGCAGGAAGTCCAAGATGAAGAGCGACATGTTGAGGATGGTTCTAGCGAGGGGAGTGCTCGTGAAGAAGATGACCAGGAAGAGGAGGAGGAGAGATCTGGAGAAGGAGAAGACGATTCAGATGATAACTCAAGTATGGAGGGTTCCGAGGCAGGAGAAGATGCTCGGCTAACATATCAACAAACGGCAAAGGAAGAGCTAGTAGAGGAAAAGGAGAAGAACGACGGAAATAGGGAATGTAAAGGTGAAGCAAGTGGAGGGGCTGGTATGTTGATAGATTTAAAGCAGTTCTCTGGGAGTGTCACCTGGTCCGAAGGAGGTGTCTGCAGGGACGGTGACGTAACTGCACTGTGAGAAAAGATTAACAAAACAGGAAATAGAAGAGGGCTCGGAGTACAGTTTTAACCAGAGGGGTTGAGTCAGGATGTTAAAAAAACTACGTCAGGCTCAAGTCCCCCAATGAATGAATAGCTGCACTCTGCTTCTTTTTTGTGAGCCAAAGAGAAGTCAAGCAATCTAAAAATACTGTGTTCATTTGAATACATCTATTTTATGTAAGATTTTAAGATAATGTTTGCAAAAATGCCACAAAAACACCATAAAAACACAAAGACATGTTGGTCCTCACTAGTATTTTAAGAGTGTGTCTTATGGCATCCTGATAAAAGAGTGGCTGATGAATGTATCTGTTGTTAATGTGAAGGACTACCCTGGATTAGATTTTAAATGTCAAAGACTTTTCAAATGTTGTATTGTCACAGAAATATATCACAAGCTGTACATTGTAGATTGTGGCATCTGGTTTTTATTGGCTTATAATGTTTTTTTTTTAATAAACATGGAAATTTAAAAACCTTAAGGGAAATGTTTAATTTTTTTCTATGCATAATTTAAATTAAATTATTAAGCAGGACAGCAATCTGGTCGTATATAAAAAGTGAAAGAATGATATTTGGTAGCAACTTTTTGTAGTTAAGAGCCTTCTTCCAAAACACGTTTTTACGATATTTGGGGCATTCTACCGAATTAGTTCAAAGTGCAGTCCCATTACAAAAAAAAAGGTTTAACAAAACAATTAAGTATTCAGACATGGATATTTACTGAGATTATATATATGATCTATTTAAACCCAGGGAATTAAATGAGATAGTGATAAGGTAAATAAATAAAAAAATATATCATTTATAGGGTACTTTCTATTGAGAAGTAGCTGTCCCCAATCCAGACCCCTAAATTTCAATTTATGTAAATACCACTTAAAACATTTTTGAGATTTGTTTTAACTGTGTAATTTAAAATATCTTTATGATTAAGTTTAAACAAAGGTTGAAAGATTTAGATTTATTGTGGGTTTCATTTTTAAATTAAAAATCTATGCTACTCAAGAGTTTTAGTGGCTTGGCTGAGCCTAGATTTAAGCCACAACCCTGAATTTATGACCAGGAAGTGGCATTGCATCCCTGTCCTACGTGGCTGCATGATAAGCAGCTAAATCCCATAATTTTTAAATAAATGTGTTCCAAAATCTGAAAATCAGTGTGTAACTTTAAAAATTGTCAGTACCGAACACACATTCTCTTCAATTATGTAAACTTTTTGGGGTTTTATGTAAATTATTATGTTTCTATGGGTGTATACTTCTTCAAAGATGTGTTTGCTAGCCATGTGCTTTCTAGCATTCTTTAGTTATGCTCAAAATTAGCTAGAATTGTCACTACCGAAACAGTCACTACCGAATCATATGGTCAAGTTCGGTAGTGTCATTATCATTTCAGTAGTGACAAAATGGACTGGTTAGTAGTTAAATCTCATCATTTTGAAATGAATGTGATCCAAAGTCTTAGAATCAGTTAGTTTCTTTAAGTATCATCATTTCAATCATCTATTTACAGCAAATAAGCAATTAATAAGTAATATTTGAACTATATGGTCATGGATGAACATTTTTATTCAAAAATTATTTATTTTATTGACCACTAAACATACGTGCTTGTAATATTCCCAACATCAGGCATGTTATGAGTTAATATTAAGCAATAAAGTTGAGGGAATATGATAAAACACTACAAAGAAAATACTGGTCACTACCGAAACACTGGTTGTTTAAAAAAAAAGAAGTATATATATATATATATATATATATATATATATATAGAGAGAGAGTTATCAATTAAAATGTTATAATACTGATTGGTTAACTGTATATTCCATCTCATAAATCATTAACTCTGAAATCAATCTGATCAGCGTTTTACATTTTAGAAAGAAAAGTTGCACATAGACTTTGAAAAATTGTAAAAATTAAAATTTGAAATTTGTTAACATAATATTGTTTTGATCATAGTTTAATACTATGTGTCGGTAGTGACAAATTTGGGGAGAGGAAATACATTCCAAAACAATATATATAGAGAAACATTTTTGGGAATAAAACTTTTCTATTCAATAAAGCTATTCAAATGCAGAGCTTATTTGGCTTTTTAGGTATTTAAAAACGAGCTTAAAAACGTTTGTTTTTTTTCAACAAAATCAACACTTTATCTGTTGAGATACCGAATACAAAGCCCATTTTTATCCTCTGTTCCAGCCAATGGGGATGTAGCTCAGTGGTAGAGCGCATGCTTCGCATGTATGAGGTCCCGGGTTCAATCCCCGGCATCTCCACAACTTTTACGGCATTGCAGTCTGATTATAATTTACCTAGTATACCTAAAGCAATTGCATTAAGAATATAAAATCCCAATAAAAACATAGACCGTATTAGCTATTTAGTATCTAAAGCGACTAAAATGAGGGAAGTTCATGATTGGCCAGACGGAGGACTTGGTCAAATCTCATTGGATATCGGAGTCCTTAGATGCGTGGGAGTGTTCCCGCACGCCAGTGTCAAAAATGTATCCTTCACTGGGCAAATTATTCTCGGTTGTGGTTGAGAGACACTCTATCGAGACACTATGGATGAACCATTAGATAATGACGAGTCATAGTAGATAAAACACAGCTGTAGTGAACATTGCCAAATCAATTATGTATCCAAAATACGGGATTTTACCTCGAGACTGAAGACAAATTCTAATAGTGATAGATGGATCATTATAATACATCCCAGTTGTTCTACCAAGCAGTGATTTGACTGGAGTCATACGGATACGATCAAACCTGGTAAATATCATTATTTTCTTTTCATGAATTTCATCCTACCTGACAGACTGCACAGATTTGGTAAAAAAAAATGCAGTAATAAAAGATACTGCACGTTCAACGCCAGTCTGTCACAGTAACCCACTTCACGACTGCCGCACCACTGTGAGCATCCAAGTTGCATTTTCTCCTCTCATCCTAACTTGATTGTGCCGGAGAAATGATTTCAGCAGACGTCACTCATCTGCATAGGGAGTAAAATGCAACCATCCTGCAAGGCTTTTCGCACCCTGAAACGCTCTATATAGCCTACTCAGGGTGCGATAAAGGGACATACTGACGGCTGCATTACCGAAACTACAAACATGGAAGGTACGGTTTGCCTATAGTGTCATGCTAAAAATATATATTTAAATCCACATATAGGAGACACATCTGGGTTGCAAACTGTCCAAGATGGATGCAGCGCCGCTGTGCGCAAGGATGCACGGCGGAGTGGCAGCAGGGTGTCTTTGAATCTTTCTACAGTTCGCTCTCACATATGCCTCCTCATTGTCGTTATTATTTTTCCATCCTTGCAGGAATAGGATGTTACTAGCATCCGCCGTAGTGGTATGGGAATGGCTGAACGAGCACGGACGCTGGCGGCCCTACAGCCCGGCTGTCTGTCATCACATCGAGGCAGTCATCCGGAGCAACCCGCGCTGTGGTAGTGTCGTCCTCGGCCAGGTGGACTCGCGCCTCTCGCCCTACATCATCGATTTGCATTCCATGCACCAGTTCCGACAAGACACAGGTGAGAGGAGCGGAGAGGAGAGGAGGAGACACATGGTGGAGGATGTAACGGTGTAGCTGGGCCTGAGGTGGAGGCCTTTTTTTTTTTTTTTTTTTTTTTTTCTCTCCTGCTTAATGATTGTCTATGCTATCTTTACAAGCCTTTCCTGAGGATTCTGAACCACAAATTGCTGCTTTTGTGGGTGTGTTTTGCTGCATGATGGCTTCTTGTTTGTACAGCTATGTGACTGAAATGTTTCATTGTTATTGGGATGAAAAAATCTGCTCCCTCATAGTTTGCGTTCTCCTGCTTTAGTACATTTATTTGAGAGGTTTAGAGCACAGGGAGGGATGTTTTGATTATGAAAGGATTCAGGGCCAGAGTGAGTCATTGTTGTAGGACCCTGTGTGTTTTTACATGTTTTACCAAGGCCACAGTAGCAGCTTTTAGTGTCCAGTCATAGCAGCAGACAGTGATTTTTTCTTTTTACTGTGAACTCAGTCTTTAATAGGCTACTCCTTTTTATATTTTTTTCCAGAACCGGACATGAGAAGTGCAGTCGTTCCAATAACTGTGTCAGAGAGTCTCTGATACTGCCACGTTCATTTTTTAGCTCACAAAAATGAAATCTTTTCAGTTGAGTGATGATATCAAACAACAACAATGCAGTGCTAGTTAATGTGTAATTTTAGCCACAGCTAGGTCCGCAATCATCCACCAATGCGTGGGCATATTCATTGTTTTGTTGTATGGGGGAGAAATGGTAGATCTTTATTGAGAGGTCGCCTTTCACAAATCAAAGTTTAATTGCAAGCAGTGTGAGATAAAGCAGTGGATGTCGAGCTTTCAGTTGCCAAACTTTGGCAGAGACCCGCATGTTTACCATCTCTCCCATCATTGGCTGACAAAATCATTGTGTTGTTTTTTTTGGGTTTTTTTTGCCTGCAACCAAGCAGAAGCTAAACTTGTAGGGTGGGGATGAAGGCAGACAGGGTGCCCCAGTCTAAATAGGAGACAGGGAGGAGGAGGAGGAGATGAAGGGTGAGAAGGGTATTCAGGAGGAGGAGGTCTTTGAAAAAAAAGTGGGTTAAATGAAACACATTTTTCTGTTTTCTTTCAAGGCTGTACTTCTGGTTTTACATTATATATCTTAAATGTTTTTGTTTTTTTAAATGTAAATGTATTAAGGCCTTACTGTTAGAAAGTGTTAATGGGAAATGTTAAACTGTTCTGACAAAACTGCCTCGAAATCCACAAAAAGGCTCCATCTGTTGAGGACTTTTTGTTCCACTTTTGTGTTTCAGATGCAGGCTTTTTAGATGTGAAGGCTTTACAGTATGAAGACTCTAGAGTTTTTTGGATTCCCTGGGAAAGCAAACACAGCCAGCTTTGGGTCGGATCAAAGCTGCCAGCCAATCAGAAACCAGAACACCAAGTGCTGTTACCAGGGGCAACCTGTTTGCCCAAATTCTCAGCAAGCAAACACACAAACATGTTGAATTTGTTAGGGTTGTAAATGTCCTTATCCACAAAAAAGCACTGCAGTCTTATTGCAACTTCCTGTCAACAACAAGCAACACGACAGTCATTTGGGGTAGAAAAAAATACGCTACAGCTTTATTCTCTTTGTAGAATGTTTTGTTGGTGACCACAAATTTCTCCCCACAGGCTGAACAGACTCAGACAAAGTTTAGTAAGAGGTAATAGTCAGATGACTGCAGGACGTATTCCTAAATGTAGTTTCACCATGAATAATTTGCACGCTATTTTGTGACCTCCTTATTCCTGTCCTAGGTACCCTCCGACCGGTACGACGCAGCTTTTACGACCCCACCTCAGCACCGGGCCAGGGCTGGTTGTGGGAGTGGGAGAACGACACCGGCAGTTGGACGGTGTACGACACTGACGTCGGCATCGCCATCCAGGCGGCACGCGATCGCCAGCAGCCCTGGCTGGATCTGGCGCCGCTGGGATTCTGCTACCTCATTGACTTCGAAAGCATGACGCAAATCAACGGGCAGACGCAGCGCTGCAGACGCATCCAGCGCCGCTCGGACCTGGCGTACCCCCTTGTGTCGGGGCCTTTGCCTAGATCACACCACGCATGGGGACCCATGTCCATGCCCAGCCACGGAGGACTGCTGGGGGTGGACGTTTCTGGAGCGGGTATGGGGATCCGAATGGGCAGTGGAGGGACTGGAAACGGGAGTGCGTATCCAAGCGGGGCGCTTCCTGCTTCAGCCATCACTTCTTTAGGACAACCGTGTGCCTGTCAGCAGTGTATGCTAGTGCTAAGTGTCAAAGCGGGTGCGATGGCGACTGCTCACACTCTCGGTCGGAGGCCGCCACAGACAAAACCACCTAGTCCCAAAATCAGCAGTCACCCAATCCCAGGAGGATCGTACTCGCTGACGCTCCCTCGGCCTCCCTCCCTTTCTCGCTCCCTCTCCCCCCACAGGACATCCATAGTTGGGGCGACAGGTGGCTTCAGTGTGAGCGGTATGGGTGGCGCCGGAGGTGTGGGCTTTATGGGTGGTAGTGGCTATGGCAGCTCCAGCTATGGCTTCGGAGGAGGCTTCCCCCACTCTCTCTCTCTTCTCAACTCAGCTACGGCAGCCCTATCCATCTCCTCCACCCGCCCCCCTCCTCCACCTCTTCCGCCGCCACCACCACCTCCTCCTCCACCCGCCACACTATCATCTTCAGCCATCTCTCCCCCTCATCCCCCTGCCTCATCCTCCCTGTCTGCTTCCTGCTCCGCCCCTACAGTGCCCGCTCCCGGCCCTCCTCCTCTCATCTCCACCGCTTCCTCCACCTGCACGCCCTCGCCTTCCGCCCGCGTGCTGGGTCCAGTGTCTTCATCGGGTGCTGCTGCCTGCGCAGCTCCTCTGCCGCCGCGGTCTAGCCTGGCGGGGCTAAGCAGACCTGCTCTGCAGCGGATTGCCATGGCTCAATCCCGTGCCCTGATCGCCTCTGGGTGAGTACACTGTAAAAATAAAAATTAAAAAAAAGTCCCTTTTAGGTCTTATTAATGTTTTTTTAAAGTGTGTCCTTCCATAAAACATAAAACAAGTTTATAACTTACACAAGATTTTTATGTTAATTGGTGTCCAATAAAATGCCTTCTTGGTTGTTTGCCAATGTGGCTAACTACCAACAAGCTAGCTAGCTCGCAGTTGTGGTTTGCAGAGTCTTAGCGCTATGGGCTGCTGAACATGCTAATCAATAGGTAGTTCCTAGCTGGCTTAATTGTTCAAGAGAAATTACGTTTATTGAAATATTATAAATGCAATGTGAAAAGGAATACTACATGTCACATTAATTAGTATCAACAAACTGCAGTTCTGTTCAGATCTGGAGGGGGGTTTTAGCAGCTTTCAGCCCTTTCTGGGGGGATTTCGGTTGTGAAACTTTATTGATTCGGTTCTCGCTCACTGCCCTCTTCAGTATCTCTCTTCCAGCAGCTGTAGGCTCTATGCAGCTGTTTTCAGTGAATAAACTCTGAATTCAACTTTCTACCTTTTGCCAAGCGCCAAAGAGCTGAAACCAAGGAGATGGGCAACTGCTTTCAGAAAACAGGAATGAAAATATGTTTACAATAACTGTGTTTATATGCAAGCCAGACCCTTATAATGAAATGTTGGACGTGACTATCGAATTGAATCTACACAGACACTACAGCTCTGAACAATATAGTAATGTGTATGAATCATAACCATGGAACCAACCCAAGCACGACATGTAAGAAAATGTAATTACACACACATTTCAAGTTTTTATTTTGTTGTTGTCCTCATTACATAGTGTGTGACATGATCACTCATTAACATTCATGAGCCTTTTTAATCTTTGTGACAAAGTCCACGAGGGTCGTTCATCTCCAGAGAACACAATGACGAGCATTCACACCAAACAAGGCCGAGGTCACACTAGTCTTTCACATTACACATATTTGTCATGCAAGCACTTAATGGTGAAAGTACTTTTACCCCCCCCCCCCCCACACTCACACATACAGCATACACAAAGCATGTTTCTACTGAACATCATTGTCACAAAAACAATTGGGGCCTCTTGTTTCATAAAGCAGGTTAGCTAAGTTATTTAAATGGCTTTACTGATTAGGACCTCAGATTTGAAAATACAAAAAATAGGATGATATGAAACAAGGACACAGGTTTCAAACAAAAAAGAAATAATGCAGATATAAAATATTTCAACAATTTTAGTCTGACATAAAACAAAGGACATACAGCTGGAGACCGTATTCATGTTCAGACATTTAAAAAAAAAGAGTTCTTCAATTCTGCAATAGCTCGACATAGATTTGTGGGAGTCATTCATCATCTAACAAATCACTATTCATCCGTGTGATGTTCATGTTTTAAGTGATGTCAGCGTCTGTGTATGTTCACAAAAGCAGGAAGTCTCAGTGTCCATGTGTTGAAGCCAGAGGGTGCTGGTTAGCAAGATGTCTTTGGTCCTGCTTTTTTCCCTTTGCTGGTTCTTCAGGTTTCCTTTTTTACAAGCATGGTCTTCTTCAGAAGACGTTTTCAGGATGCTTGTGATTTCACTTGTGCTACTGCGTCACATCTAAATGAAACAATTGTACAATTTTTGCACAACATGAATCATTCAAACACTACAGTTCCTCTATACTGTTTTGATAGGACATATGAACCGATTTGGTCGCATGTACTGTGATTAACACTTGATCAAACAACCACATGCTGAGGATAATTTGTGAGCCCACCCAGCAGGTCACACCAACTTTCTGTATATCCTCGCATTAGCAGTCCAGCTAATCCTCAGATTAATAGCAAATACCACAGGCTTAATATTCTTGCTTCACTAATCTCAGTATTTTGTGTCAAGTGTGCTGTGTGACCTATTATTTCAATATGTCAGGTGAGAGCACCTGCTGCTGCGGTAAAACCCTACAACGTCACAGTTCCAGAGTCTCTGTGATCCCATGAGCCCTGGTTCCACTCTGCTGTTGGCTTTTCTCCTCCCTTTACTTATACTTAGCTCAATCTCCACTAAGTGCTACCTGCTGTCATCGTCATACTGGTTCATCCCCATGTTCATTGCTAGCATGTCATTAGTGCTCCTGTAATTGAAAGAGGTGGAACACTTCTTGAAGCTTGTCAACCTAGATAGGTAGAGCCAGTAGCATTGTTCCTTAAAGCTTGCAACATTCAAACTGGGCCCCTCCTTTCTGGGCTCATGGCCCCTAGAAGCGCACACTCACTGCAGGACATAACTACAATGCAGCACATCAGCCTGTCCAACAGAAAGCAGGCCAACTCAACCTCTATGGGTGATAGCCAACTCAAGGTTCATCCTTGTTTTAGAACAAGCTATATCTGCTTACCGTTCTGCCTCACCGTGATATTTTCTCTTTTTTGCCATTACGTCCTCGTCCGTCATATTCACCGGTTTGAATCGGGTCCAAAGGCTGAACTGTTATCACTCCTCAAACTGTCATTGGTTGGGGGAAAAACTATACTACATGTATGGAGGCCCATAAGGGATGGTTGAGTGGCATTACTTTAGTATAAGTCTATTTTGACTGTATCTCTAAATTCATAAATACATGGAGATAATTAAGTTCACCTTTATTTGTCAAGTCAAGCAAATGAAATACAGAGTGTAATTAAGACTTTTCAGCATCATGTTAATCAGTTAATGTAATTAACCAATGTGTGGTTAAACATTGGTGTGACTAATGTTAGTGAACATTTCGCCAATTGCAGTTATAACTAGAAAAACTACACAAATTTCATTGTTTAATATGTTCATGTAAAAAGGAAGAAGACTCAAACGTCAACATATATTCAACACCTAAGTGGAGCTAGCTTTCTGCTAGTTGCCTGCTAGCTGCCTAAGGGTCCACAGGGTTTTTTTGGCTAGTTGCTGCTAACGGTGCTTTTCTCTTGTTGCCTTTTGGTGTGAAGCATTTATACAGTATTTTAAAGAGTGAAACAGCTGATTATAAATGGATCATTATTTATCTTTTAAGCATTGCCTGGTTTTTATATTTCTCACAGTGTGACTTAACTTGATTTAAATGTTGTCCATAGCAGTTACATTACATTGACTCATATTGTGCATTTTTACAGTGTAAGAGTCAAACTTGAAATAACATCAAACTCCTCATGTTCAACAGCTCACTTTTATCCCATAGATTGTTAATATGAATGAAGGAAGCCTGATTGTCTCCGGTGGTTCATCGGCATCACTATACTGGAAATCCTGCCTAACTTTCAGTCAACCTAACAACAGTTACATCGCTCCCAACTGTCACCAGGTCAGACACGTGTCCATGCATAACTCGTATCGTTCATAAAATCAAAACGGATTTGTTATTAAAAAAAAAACGAGTCCCCTGTGCAGTCTGCCCGTAAGAACAATAAACAATCAGACCAATCCAAAGAAAACGTTTGAGAACCCTGCTGTAGACTCTGCTGGAGGAATGTCAGGTAATAATTATTTGTGCCCCTTTTCACATTATACTTTGTCATTTGATCCAATATTGTGGCTTACATGATTATCAGAGCAACCTGAAGGCATCATCTGTATTGATTAAAGTATCTTACCAAATATACTTAAAAGTTCTAAACATAATGACGTAATAAGCTTAAATAAAACTGGAATAATTATCAATCCAGAATACAGTTGAACAAAAAAAAAATGTTTTCAAAGTAACTTTAATAAACACAAATAATTCATACATTATGAGCAGATTTCCATGAACAAATGAAAGCACAGGAACCACAGAAGTACAAGTTGTTTTGAGATGAAATCAAAAGAGGAAATGTGAAGGTGAGTTTGATATTCAATTTATTGATATTGACTGAAATATTACATCTGAGTAGTAAATCGATTTTGGAAAAGACAGCACAGTTATCCCCTATTATGTTAATAAAAGTAATGCCAAATAATAATAATAATAAGATTTATGTATTTTCTTTATAAGCCGCTTTTCATGTCCTCAAAGACACTGGACAGTAGTAAGTGTACACATGATTTGTTCCATTTGGATTGGCTCTTTTTGACCTTTGTTGATTCGTGTAAGAGAATTTTCCGTCAGTGAAATTGAGCAGATGGTTTCCAAGTCAAGTGTCACAGATTATCACAGTGACCAAAGTTTCCTTTGCTGCGAACACCTGTCGGGGGTTCCTTTCTCCACTGGCTGCAGTGGATTTAATAGCGATGCCTCTGCCTCTGTCTCCTTTTCATTATGGGTTTTTTACTCCTTCCTCACGGATGTATCTGTGTATCAGACGTATTTTAAGGTGTGAGTTTGAATCTAGTTTAAATGTGCGTGTCTGTGTTGACATATGCTGCAGCTCGGCATCATCCAGCGGTCCAGATGGAGGCCGTGCTAATGCCATCGGATTAGCAGGGATCAAAGAAACGTGACTTGCCGACTCACCGCTCCTCTTTCTGTTTACCCACCTTTACCTGCCTTCTTCCCACCTTTAATCTGTTTCAGCGTGTGACTTACGCTCACAAATGTCAATGAACCTCTTCTCGCTCAGGTGTGACCAGTCAGCTGACAGGTTTTCTCCTTTTGTGAATCAGAATAGTGACACAGGGGGGGAAGCTTTGTTGGTAAACAAGCAGACATAGTAAGAGAGTTTACAGTGTGAGCAGATTGAATGGTACAGTTTTACACTATTTATGATTACTAATCACATGTCTGTTAATGCACCATGGGGCCATTTTTTTTTGGCTATTTAGTACTTCCTCCCTGAATAAAAACATCCACAGATATGCAAATAATTAAAATTTTCTTCTTCTTTTCTATAACAAGGTTTGCATATTTTTTCTCCATAAGGTAGATTATTATAAGAAACTGGGTGGACGGACCATTACCAGGGTTAGGGTTATATAAAGCAGGTGTTTTCTTAATAAACCCACCCTCAAATGTTCCATCCAAAAGGATGCAAATAATTTAGAGTTTTGGTTAGAGATGTGATGTTTGGTAAAATACATGGATGTAGGAAGATACCCCAAAGACAGACTTCATGTAAAACAGCAGAAAATCAGTTTGTCTTAAAGCTCAGAACACAAAATTAAATAGCCTACGACGAAAAACAAAGATGTGTGTTTTTAAAGGTCACATATTATGCAAAATACACTTCAGCATGTTTTTCTAACACTTAACATGTGTCCTTAGTCTGTCTGCAAACACCCTAATTATGAGAAGACAAGACACTTCACAGACATGTTTTGGTGAGCTCTGAGATTTCTGTAGACTGGTTGAAAAGGAGTTTAATATCCATCCATTATCTTTGAGGTCCCGGTGGGGGGGGGACTGGAGCCGATCCCAGCTGTCATCGGGCGAGAGGTGGAGTACACCATGGACTGTTCACCAGTCAATCACACTGCTGACATGTAGAGACAGACAACCAGGCACACTCATTCACACCTCGGGGCAAATTTCTTTAGAGTCACCAATTGACCTAACGAGCATGTCTTTGGACTGTGGGAGGAAGCCGGAGTACCCTGAGAGAACCCACACATGCACAGGGAGAACATGCAAACTCCACACAGAGAGGCCCTGTGGAGGATAATATATGACCTTTAAATTAGTTTTTTTCTTTTTTTGACAAGTTGGAAAGGCCAGAAAGTAAAAAAAACAATAACCTCAAACCAAAATAAAAACCATCAAAACCAAGAACACACACATCTTGAATAAAAGACAGAGGATAGTTTGTTTAGGTCGCCTAGCAAAGTCCCCCCAAACAGCCCAAAACATGTGATTTCTAAGTGAAATAGTTTTGGCTTCAAACACTCTGCTAGTTATTTTCCATATGGACAAACCTATGTCATGTGTGTGATCGCTTTACTTAAGGGGCTATTTTTTGAATCATTTGCCAGTTACAGACGTCTTCATACATAAGCATGACAGTTACAGTCAAACTGCTCATTTGAATCCTAAGGATGGTTTTAATGGACGTCTTTAATTGATGCGACACAGCAAAGCAATAAATTAAAAGTGCCAAAATCTGAGGTCGGGATTCCTGACAGCAGCTGTGATATCTCGGCCGTGGCGCTGTGTTAGCACATAGCCGTATGTGCTCGAGTCTGTTAGCCTAATGGCAGCCTTACAGTGTGACGTGATACCTGACAGGTAATCCCTGCTGTGACCAATCTCTGGCCTACAACCAGAGCTCAGTCAACAGATGGAGGCAGGTGGATTAGCTCTATAAGAGGAGGAAGGAGACGTGCCAGTGGCACACAAGCAGCAGGAGAAGAGGGAGACCGAGACACTGACACACTACTGGAATAACTGCTGGAATATCTGTGGTGCTTTCAGGAACCAAAAATGACTGTTATCAAAACTGGCAGGCCGTAAGTTAAAACTGTAGCTTGACAGTAATAGTGACTTTTGTCATGTGTTTTATATTTGACGTAACCTGTGAAGAAGCAGAGGATGGTTTGACTTGTGTAAAGTGTCGGAAATATTCATTCATTCAGCTGATTAAAGGAGTTCATCTTTTCTGGATAACTGAATTAAAGAAGAATGATGCTGCCTCACAAACTACACAAACTGAAAGCGGGTGTAACAAGTCTGTTTCCTAAAAAGTCAATCATTACTTGCCTTCTTTTCAGGAATTCTTTATTATTGTTCCTCCTGTGTTCTTGTTAAGTTTACTTCCAAACAAAGGTTAACAAAGGTAATTTTCCAAGTGTGCGGCCACACAAACCCTAATCTTAAACCTCACATAGCGAGACGTCTCACCTGGCAATTGCAGGACAGACAGTATGTCAACTCGTGATGCGCGGCATCTGTCTGTTTCCCAACATGACGCAGCAAAAGCTCCTTAACCTGAGAGGAACTGGGAGCTTCCATATGCCATGGCAAGCTGTTTAAGTTATTATTACATTACGTTTGCAGGTGACTCTTCAGATGACGATTCTTGTTTCTGTAGTTTCTATAATCTGAGATGACCACCGGGACAGTCTTGAATGTACTATAAGTGTGTCATCAGTGATCATGCAGATTCATGTAAGTTTGATGTCTTGTGTTTCAGAGTGCCAACAGTTCCAGTGAAGAACCTTAATGGATCCAGCCCGGTGCACCCTGCACTGGCAGGTAATATCTGTTTAAAATTGTCTTAATAACGTAATAAATCAAAAGTACTTTCTTAAGAATGTGTCAAAAATGTAAGACTTAAAAGATACATTTTAAGTTTATAAAAGTAGCTTTTAAGTGACACTGACTTACTGCCCTACAGACAACAAAGCCAATGACATTTAGCGCCATGTCTAATGGGTATTGTTTAGTCGTCACATGTAAGGTGTATAGATTCTGTCCTGGGGAAAAGAGCTTATCAATGATTAGACCCTATACTAAGTGTCTAATGTGCCCCCTCTGCTGGCTGCATCCAGGCATTACAGGCATCCTGATGAGCGCAGCAGGACTTCCTGTCTGCCTGACACGCCCCCCCAAGCTGGTGCTTCATCCTCCTCCTGTCAGCAAGAGCGACATCAAGCCCGTCCCCGGCCTGGGCCACTGCTGCCGCAAGACCAACAAGAAACAGGCTCGCAAAGGTGGGTTTGAAGAAGTCTGCTTGAATGTTTTCAAGAACAAGTGCAAGTATCATGTGCAATTTGGTCATTCTATGTTTTTCACTCTCATAGGCAAGACCCCTGAGGAGGTAGTGAAGAGATACCTTCAGAAAGTCCGCAATCCCCCTGAAGAGGTTAGCTCTTGTTTAATGACTTCTAAGTCACATAAAACATGATAGGTATATTTTATTTCATTTGGAAACCAGTGCACAACACAGGCTGGTTTTAAGCGTGAAAATGTTAAATATGAATCTTATTGACTGCATCAGCACAAGGAGTTTGCTCTTTTGTCATTGAGATTATCTAGTTATTATTTGAAGTATTGATTTAAAAAGCTGGCTTTTAAGGGAATTTAGCTACCCCTAACATTTACAAAATTCCTTCATTGATGAAAGCCTTGAGCTGTAGTTGAATGCTCTTAGAAAAAATGCATGTTAGCAAGACTCTTTTTTAACACAAGGAAAGCATTTTCTTCTATGATTGTGATTTCAATGGCTATATTCAAAAAGAAGTATTTAACGTGTTTTACATGTCTTCCCATCTCAGGACTGCACCATCTGTATGGAGGCTCTAGCCGGGCCATCGGGCTACAAAGGCCCCGGTGTAGGTGGCATCTCACGGGCTGAGTCAGTGGGACGCCTGGCTCAGTGCGGCCATCAGTACCACCTCCAATGCCTCGTCGCAATGTACAACAATGGCAACAAGGACGGCAGCCTGCAGTGTCCAACCTGCAAGACCATCTATGGAGTCAAAACCGGCAACCAGCCCCCAGGCAAGATGGAGTACCACGTCATCCCCCACTCACTGCCGGGCCACCCAGACTGCAAAACCATCCGGATTATTTATAACATCCCACCTGGCATCCAGGTAACGACAGCATACCAAATCTTACATGACACTAGCTAAAAAAAAAAAAAAAGGATGACTACAGGATATGTTTTGATCTCTTTTATTTAAGGATTTGACAATTTTTTTTTGTTCTTGTTAAGGGCCCAGAGCACCCAAATCCAGGCAAACCTTTCACTGCCCGTGGTTTCCCCAGACACTGCTACCTTCCTGACAGCGAAAAGGGACGCAAGGTAAACCAGAACCTTCCTTTCCTGTCGGTTAAAAGTTTCATTTTAATCTGACATGACTAGTTTTTGGATAAAGTTGAATCTTTTCTTCCTTAATCTTTTCCTCCAGGTTCTGCGGCTTCTTCTGGTAGCGTGGGACCGCCGGCTCATTTTCTCCGTGGGCACGTCCAGCACCACCGGCGAGTCCGACACAGTCATCTGGAACGAGGTGCACCACAAGACAGAGTTTGGCTCCAACCTGACAGGCCATGGTTATCCCGATCCAGGCCACTTGGACAACGTGCTGGAGGAGCTTAAGGCTCAGGGCATCACCGAGGAGGAGTGTCTACCCAGAGACTGACCAGAAAAACAGAAGAAATGGGAAACAAGGCTAGAAACTGCTGGAAAATATTTAATGTTTTCAACAAAAGAAAGTACTTTTGCCACCAGAGAAGGATCAAGCCTTTGAACTCTTTACAGGAAAGATGCAGAAAATTGTTTCCAGCAGACAGAATTAGCTGAAAATGTAATTTCTCTCATGACTGCATGAGTCAGTTTCAGTACGGGAGAAATCCGTTTTTCTCCTGATGCAGTAACAGTGTCAAGATCACAGATGTTATTCAGTGAGACATTTGAGATCACTGTGCACATACAAGTCAGTGTTAGATTAACAATAACAAACATTTAAACTGTGAGACTTCAAATCAAGAATGTAACAAAGTGGATTTTTCCCTGAATTGATTAAGTTTTTGCTGCTAAGTGGAACTGAAAGAAGGAAAAGAAGTCTGTACGTTTGAAGTGTTAGTCCAAGCAGAAGACACTTGTGTGTAACTGGATATCTGAGCATGAATATTTGCTGACCTCTAGTGGTACTTTTCCAGAACTACATTCCTTTTTAGCTTTGATTTGTATTCAATTGTATCGATGTACATTGCAAATACTTGATATATGATATTGTTTCCATCATGTTTTTATATTTTAATTTTACATTTGTTTTATATGCTGTTTCTTTGCATTGCATTATGTGTGTGTGTGTGTGTGTGTGTGTGTGTGTGTGTGTGTGTGTGCGTGCGTGCGTGCGTGCGTACGTGTGTTTGTGTGTGTTGTAACAGACTGACATTTTCGCTGAAGTGAGAATAAGCTGCAAGTGTGCCCAAGATGGCCTGAAAATCTATACGCCATCTACCAGCCCCTTTCTTTAAAAAAATATATAATTTTCTGTATTTTATATTTAACAGTTTTTAAAACTGACATTCCTTAGCTATTTGGCTCTCAGAACATTGGTAAGAAACTTTCTATGTACTACTAAAAACTACTATAGATTAATCCCTCTCACAAAACATCTAGGATTGGACCTCCTGCCTGAGCTCAGATTTGCACAGAGCTTGCCACTTGGTATCAAAATATCCCAGGACAGCTTGCATCTACTGTACTTTTTATGTAGGTCACACAAACCAGGCTCAAATGCTCTAATGAAACTACAAAGTTAAGTCGTTTGTTGTTTTTTTTTCATGTTTAGTTCCTGCAATGAGCAGGTGCAAAAGACTATCTCTTGTTGTGGATCTAGCTTTGGCCAAAGTGGTCCAGTCGGTTTGCATTCAGTCCAGTGTGGACCGGTTTATAATGAGATTCAATAGATGAGTTGTTAACATGCTAATGTAGGCCAACATTAAAAGCAGTTTTGCTTTATGATACTTTATGTATGCACTGTACTGTATGTATGTGTTTTATGTGCACAAATTTGCATTAAACGTTTTTCTAAGGTTCAAAGAAAATGACAGAACTACCTTACTGATTTTTGTGACGTTAATGCAAAATTACACTAGGCCTACTTTTGATGTACAGCAGACATTGCGGCAAAAAGTGGCAAAGACAAGATACTCGTCAATGCCAAAATTTTGTGTTGAAATAGCACAAGTAGGAAAAGAGTCGTAAACTCAACAGGCTCAGTTTGTTGTATGTCATATAAGCTAGTATGCTAGCTAGCTGTATGACACCATGGTAAAGTCCGTAAATGTGACATTTATTTTATACTTTGAAGTTTTAAATGGCACTTTTAGTCTGTTTTAACAGCTACACGGGTGCCAAAAGTGAAAGGAAATTGGTAAATGCTGAAATATTGTGAGACTAGATCAAGCAGGGACGAGCCAAAGTTAAAACCCGCACTTTAGCAATTAACTGGAAACTAGAAGCTTCATGCAAGACGACCATCATTGTTTACTCTCTTATCTAAAATGACAGCTTTAGTAAATAACATTGACACTATGATCTTTGAACAGCACTGTCTGCATATACAATAACAGAAGATTGTATTTACTATAGGCTAATGTAGCGTGCATAGGCTACGATACTCGAAAAAAAGAAAGAAAAGTCCAATGTTTATTAATTTATCTGTTAAATGTGTCAACTTTGATACTTTAAAGTGACATTATGGTACTTGAATTTGACTAACAGCAGAGGTGAGGTCTATTTAATCAGTGAAAGTTGCATTTTAATATTGATTATGATTTGTTATTTAACTTGTAAAGGACAGGACAAGCTCTGTATTCTCTCTAAAGTAATATTGGCTTTTTATTGGGGGATTTGATTATCTGAACCATTGAAAGCTATCACCCACATTTCACAAACGTTGGCACGCCAAATCTAGGCTACTGTTTGGGTAAACATTTGCATCTTTACCTACCTCTACTTTGAGCAAATTCAATTTAAACTTCACTTTATATTTCATAGATTAGCCTAATTACTGACTCCTATCTAAAGACTAGAGAGGTGGATGACCAGTTTATCCCCAGATTAGTCTGGCTCCTGGATTAGTAGTTGGGATTAATTCCACTTTAATGAATTAAAAACAGTAAGAGACTATTAAACACAATTATAGTGGACCCCAGCAAGAGAATTTGAGTAGCCTATGTTGAAATAAACAAGCGTGGTACCTGTGTTTTTTAAGCAACTTGTATAACAAGCATTTAAGAATGAGGAATTACTATGTACATAATTATTATTATGTACACAATGGGTAGATTTTTTGTGTTAAAAAACATTTTGAGGGAAAGCTGTCTAGGTTACTATCACAAAACTGCAAAAAATATATATATAATCAAATTTTAACTTTAAGAATGTGATAAGATAGGGGCACCAGTGACCTAGCAGGTAGTTTGTGCGCCCAATGTAAAGAGGTTGTAGTCCTTAGAGCGGGCGGCCAAGGTTCAAATCCGGCCTGTCTTCTAATAGAGGCATAAAAAGCCCAACAATAAATAAATAAACAATGAATATTCATAAACAAACAAAAAATAATCCGATAAAAGTATAAACCCATAACAGCAAGAACATGTGTTCCTTTTTGAGACACTCGCCTAACCTTCATGCTGGCTGAAAAACAAACACTCAAAAACCTTTCACACCAACTTTCATTTGCCCTTCTATTTCCGTGACGGCAGAGCTTAACGGAGGACTTAAGTGACAGATGTGATGGATTGTGCAAAGCTGCCAAATTGTGGTATGAAAATGCACCGGCCGCCAGTCAGGTTTCTGAGGAGCAGATGGGTTAAGGGCCTAATCAGGCCGGAGTTAAGCCGACTGACAGCAACTAGTAACCGTAATTAAGATGAAGTGAGCATGCAAGCAAATATTGAGCACTACTATTTTGGGGTGATTCAGGTTTTCCAGACAAAATGCTGCAGGAAGGAAAGTAGTCGTGGTTTTCTGTATGTGATAGACAGTATTTTTTGCAGAAATGTTTTATTTTAAAAGGTTAAGAACATTGAGGGAGTGAGAGAAAGGGAGCAAGAGACTATGGGGGAAAATATGCACATATTATGGTAGATTAGGCTGCTTGAGATGGGGGTAGACGAGGATCCGCCCCTCACTGAGACCTAAAGGGGGGAGGGGTTTCCTACTGGTCAGAGAAATCCTTACTTCAGGGCGGATCATTGTCTACAACCCACAGCTATGATAAGAAAGCTGATTATAGCTGTCAGCATTTTGTATACCAGTACAGGATGAATATGGTTGATGAATGCAGGTTGCAGGTTTTTTCTGATGTCTGTTATTTCCAGCTAAAGCATTTCACAGCGTTTCAGTGAAAAGCTTTTCTCTGCCTTTTAGATCTAAATTGCAGGCTGTAAGTGTTTTCCACTCCTCTACATCAAGCTGGATGAAGCAGATCCGCCCTCTCCCTGTCTCAAAATGACTTGTCTATAATTAAAAGCTTTTAAATGGAGCAGCGTGTTGGCTGACTACCAAATCCAGTGCCTTGTTGCTAGGGAAACACATACCCGTGGTATCAGCTCTCTCGCTCTCTCACTCTCTTTTTTTTTTCCCTCCTCCCCAGAGGCTCATATTTCAAAAGTGTCAGCAACCTCATGCGCTCACACTGCTGCCTTTCAGCTAAAAGCTTTTTGTGCTTGTGTGGAGCAGAATGGAGGGAAAAAAGAGAGCGGATGGGAGTGGTTATAGGGAGAGGGAGGGAAAAAGAAGGGCCTCCCTCTCTGTTGCCACGGCAACTTGATGTCACAGTGACATCACGCACCACTAAAAGCTTTTAACCGGATTCCTCTCCTGCCTTAGGCCCCATTTTGAGTCCTCTTTCAGCAAGGCTAGGGGGGAAGGGCACAGGCAGGACGGTGTGTATGCCTTCTTGTATCACTCCCTCACTGCAGATTGAACACAGCTCTTAGCACGGTAAAAGACTTTCAAATTCAATCTGTAGAGATCCTATTTCTGCAAACCACAGCCAGCACAGGCCAAGAGAACCATTTGAAAGATGGCAACAGAAGATGGTTTCAGCTACCTCTTGCAAGGCCACAGTGAGAAACACAGACGGGCCCCTAACTGGACCGACGGGGAAATGAAAGCCCTCCTGTACGTGTGGGAGGAACACCACAACGAACTGAAAACGAGCAAAAGGAACGCAAAGGTTTACGAGAAGATGTCTCAGAGGTTTTTCCAGCTGACCGGAGAGCAGCGGTTCAAAGAGGAGATCAAGATGAAAATCACCAACATGTCTTTCCAGTACAGGCAAGTGCACCACATGCAAGTTGACTTCAGCTTTGACTTCAGGCTCCAGCTGTTTCGTGACTTTAAACCTCTATTTCTGATCCAACAGGCGATCGAAAGCTACAGCCATTGAAAGTGGGGAGACGCCAGACTGGCCTTATTATAAACCCATCGAGAAGATCCTCTCCAAACCGCTGGAGAACGGGCGAGTGAACTGTTTGGAGTTCCAGGCCTCCACTGCAGGTCCTTCCACTTCCTCCCAATCCACAGACAACCTGGTGACCCTGTCAGAGGAGGGGGTGATGGGATTTCTGCCAGAGTACACAGGCTCTTCAGACGAGATGGAGATAAAACAAGAGCTGGACTCGCTGAGCTCTGACAGCGAGCACACACATGGCTCCAGGTAACAGGAAGTAGTCAAGGCATGATTTTTAGTTAGGTTCTTTGTTATATTGAGAACAAGTCGCTTTTCTCTTGTAGACAGCAGCGAAAAATCAGACCCTTGAAAAAACGTAATAACTAAGTATATTTTCCAGTGATAATGGACAATATTAAGAAGCAAAATGTTTTCTTCCTTTTGCATGCTGTCAACCATTTCTTAATAAGTGTCATGGATTGGATTTAAGAAACTACAAACACTACTTTGTAAAGTAATGGCAGCACTACAAAAAGTTGTGAAACGACTCCATATCTTGAATTCCATCATCAAATAGTGAGAGCAGAGTTACTGACACTCTGCCAATTTCCTTATTAGCAGGGCTACTTTTGCTGTATATAATCTCCATGGCTGTAGTAGGCTGATGCCGTATTCATGTGAGATAACTAAATCAGTGAAATAACTAAGTAGAGAAAACATCGCAGGAATCAAGGGGGAGAAATCAAGTGTAAACTTAGTTTCAGCAAAGGCTACCTGCTGTTATCCTTAGCTAGCTATTACTAGATTTTTGTCTTGTGATGCTTTAGTGTCAGTTATGCGGCTTATTTTGTAACTTGTACACTGTGTTTTTTTTTTTTACAAATAGTGAAAACATTTTAATTGCCATTTTCTTTCATCTTAGTCGACATTGCAAGAGGGAAATGTGAAGCTAGGTAAAGACTGTAGCTAAGACTTACTTGACTGTAAGACTCTTCAGCTAGCTTAGAACATTCACTTAAGCATTCGGGTGTGTTTTATATCAGATGTTAGCTGCCAACTTTATAAAACATTTACCTTGAAATCTAACATGAGAAAATGATAATTCATATTTATAACCATTTTTTAAAATCTGGTTATATACTATGACAATTCCCACTCTGAACTTTCCATTTTCTTCCCTCCAGCTCTCACCCTACTTCAGCCAGGAGAAGGCGCACCAACAAGCACCTGTCCCTGAAGAGAAAGAAACTGCGGGTGATGCAGGCCATGCTGCAGCAACAAAAGAAGTCCAGCCGGGCCGTGGAGGAGACGTGCAGGGAGGTCCGTCGAGCAGTGCATCAGCAGAGCCTCCTCCAGGTCCAGTGTCTGCAGTTGCAGGAGCGCATGATGAACCTTCTGGAGAAGATGATCCAGCCTTTGTCCGCTACCTCAGCATCATGGGGTCAGAGCGGGGCTAAAGATCCAGGACAGCCCTGAAGCGCGAGGGTTATAATTGTCTTGGATATGTCATTGTCTTGCCTCACCTATATAGCCTATATTTATAATGGATTTTAGTCCAACATCTAACATGTTTTAGGCGTATTGTGCTGCAAATGCCAAAACATAGCTCTTTTCAGTGCAACTATGGTATACAGAGGTACAACAATATTCTGTTACTATTTCTCACAGTGTAGTCAAAATGAATATATCAAAGTAGGATGACCCTGATGAACCTTTATTATATATGCTGGTAGTTTAGCATCTCAGTCATTTTAAAAGAAACTTTTTTAATGATTGTGTCAGTTTAAGTATTTGTTTTTAAACTCACTGTGGGAACAACAGCCTTGCAAAAATTCACTTATCTCTTCACTGTGCTAGGAATTACTTTTTTATTTGTACAATTATTTGTTGTGAAGGTTTGATGCCAAAACAGGGCAATTTGTAGCATTATGAACCAGAAGTTGAGGCAATAATCATTTTTTCTGTTCTTGGAGTGATAGGAAATAAGCTGTTCTTGAAATGACATTTACAACACAAACTACATTCCTCTAACATGTTCAGCGTTAGAAAAAAAGCAAGTATTTAGAAAATTAGAATGACAGATTCATACTGTTAAAACTGTACAGAAAACCAATTTATAAAAGACTTCTAAAAATTGGTAAGCTACATTTCCAGCTTTCAACTGATACATCTTTTGAAGGTGAATCCCACTTAGAATCAATCAAAACAAATCTGAAAGATATTGAGACTCTAATTTATTCTTCTAATCATATTCAACAACTCTGCCTGCACACCGATTGGACTGTCAAAGGACAAACAAATGCACTTCAGTTTTAAATGGATAGTGCAGTATTGCTTTTAGCATAAGATAAAATATCAAAGTAGAGACAGAAATAGCACCTTTTTCATGAGATTTTGATTGTTTTATAAAGATTTTCTGTTCATCCTCTATGTTGGATTTTTGCTGAATAAAACAATAAACAAGCTGCAGTCATTTCTTGTCTTTCTTGTCAACTGGAGGGTACTTATTGAAATGCACAGAAGGTAAGGTCTGATAATGTCCAACTCTTAAAGTCTTTGCCTTTCAGCCCATTTTAAGAGGATTTGGAGAAACTGGGGATTACGTTGGTTCCATCACACACAACCCCAGCTCCATGGAGTCCCTGTTACATGAAAAATTAAAATGCATTTTTTCAGTAACATGTAATTGTAAAACAAAAATGGATGCATTTTGATGTAGCTTACAGTAAGCACGAAACCAAAAAAAATGCTCCATGGCTTATAGCATGAGACTATTCATTATCAGTGTTATTGTATTTCCGCCACTGTGTGGCCTACTATGGAGGACGAGATCTGACAGAAGTATAAATAAATAAATAAATGTATAAATAAATACTGGAATAAACAAATAAAATAATGAATGAATAAATAAATAAATAGTTAAATGTGTGAATAAATAAATAAAAACTGGTAAATAAATAATTAAATGTCTTAAATGTATTTCTCATGTATTTATTTCCACATTTATTTATTTCTACATGTATTTATTTCCACATTTATTTATTTCTACATGTATTTATTTCCACACGTATTTATTTCTACATTTTTTCATTTACATATTTATTTATTTCTACATTTATTTATTTCTACTTCTGTCAGATCTCGTCCTCCATAGCTGCACATCATGTGTAGTAAAACCATGTGACAGTGTGTGCACTGTGCAACCGTTGCAGCCCTTTGACCACGGAGGTATTGTTTACACACCATCTGCAGTAGTGTGCTGCTCCCAGAAGAATAGGCACTGACATATATTTATGCAGAGTGATCGAGATATACTCCATTGATAGCAACCAGGTAAGACGTTAAATCGGTATTGTTATCACTGAATTTGTTTTTATTTTAAAGTGTATAGGCTATTTAATCATTTATGACATGTTTCCAGGATGATTAATTAGCTCATTGTGTCGTGTAAATCCCAGTATTTCTTTGTGTTGGTGGCGTAGTTTATTGAAAGCGTTCGAGACTTTCAAATGTGATTTACGTTGGCGCAAAATAAAGACTGTAAATTGACATATTTATCAGCCAATAGCGAAGCTCCGTTTGTTTGAATCTCGAACGTGACACGCGTTGTGATTGGCCAGAAAGAGACGTCACATGCTCCGCAGACGTTACGCTGTCATGGTTACAATGAAAGACGCTTTGTGATCTCCGCGGAGAGTGAATGGAGGCTGGTGCCATATGGACTTCTGAATCACGGCAGGAAAACATTGTGTTGAATTCTTTTTTAAAAAAAGACTTGTAATTTAAAAAATGTAAACGTACAGGGTTACGGCAGCGTGAATGTGGACCGGAAGGCGTATCTGTGGAACTTTTCACCTCTTGTAAGGTATTTTTTTTTTTCAAATGTTGTCTTTACAAAGCCACGTTGTGGTTTCCGACTAGAAGCAGTTTTAAAATAATAGTTATATAGTATTATAGTTTCTATAATACCTATTAAAATACAAGCAGTTGCCTAAATTCATCTTTTTTTGTATGACTTTGAAAATGTGTAGCGTTTAACTAGTGGTTAAATAAGTGGTTGGAAAAACTGTCGTGGACCGAAACCAAGCAGTCTGGTTGTCATTGAAGAGTTGTTGGGGTTGTGAATAGAGAGCCAGCTGGCACTGTGCTTCTGGGTGGAGGGGGTGGAGGGGGTGGAGGGGTTGGGGGTTAGTCATTTGCAAGCTGTGTTGGTTTGAACATAAAAGCTATAATGTGTCTAATCTGACAGATAATTGTTAAATAAGATTGATAGCAGCGTTTGAACAGTTCTACTTCAGGACTGATTTGTTTACAAGTCTATGTATTGTTGTACCTATTCTGTTACCAAATATAGTCAAACAAAATGTGTTTTGATAAGCCATTAAATAATGTTTTAATATGGTATTAATTGTAGAAATGCCACAACTAGCTGATAGATTGATTTGGAAAACATTATTTTGTTACATTATGAAATTGAGTAGCTTCTTTATAAATGGATTTTCTTTTATTTCTTGCCCAGGATGACAACAGCACAATAGTGTTGGCAACCTGCATGTGTTCCAGTTCCCACACGCTGGATCTCACAGCATCCTAACACAAAGATGAGGATACAGGGACAGCCTGAGGGCGTGAGGAGGCGCCTGGATTTAAATGCAATCGGTGAGCTCAGGGGCGTGGAGGTTATCCGGAGTCGGGCTGGATATGGCTTTACTATATCGGGACAGAGGCCGTGTCTGTTGAGTGGCATCCTGGAGGGAAGCCCTGCTGACCTGGTAGGACTTAAACAAGGGGATCACATCATGGCAATTAATGGAACTGACGTATCCGCTGCTGCGCATGAGACTGTGGTGCAGTTGATTGGCAGCTGCAAAGGACCTTTGCATTTGGTGGTTCATGCAGAAAGCCGAATCATGGGAAACCCTATCCTTAATGATGAAAAATTTAATGATGGTCGGAAAAGTGGAATTTACCAAAAGGCACCTGTTCTTCGCACTATCTCGGATGACTCAAGCAATTCATCATTTAACTCAAGTCTGCCTGTCAACAACAAACAGAGGCCGGTGTCAGAGCCTGATATGTCCCAGTGGGCACAGAACTGGAACTCTTTTGCTGATCAGCCAAAGCAGGTAACATACAGAGTTGGAGACACTGACTCTGTGTTCACGGACACAGAAGAAGTAAATCCTGAATGGAGTATTTTGAACATGACATTGGTGGTGGGCTACCTGAGCTCCACAGAGCTCATTTTAAACACTACAGAAACAGAAGAGGACTGTTTGAAAGCGATCCGGGAGCGGATACGACAGCTAGGAACAGAGCAGAGTACCCACACACTTGTGATGATGAAGATCATGTTTGACTGTGTTCGACTTTGCGATGATGCAGGAGCTGTTTTAGCAGCCTTTCCCACTGAGAACCTTGTTTTAGGGGCTGTTTGTGCTGAAGACCCCCGTTTTTTTTGCTTGGTCACTACAGCACATATAATAAATGGTCAAGTACCCGAGGATGGTCCCCTGAGGGCCTCCTGCCATGTTTTCTTTGTCGACCCAGAGCTAGGAAACCATCAGGACCATGTAGGCATTGCTGGACGGTTTTGCTTCAACTGCACCCCAGATCCAGACGCTGAAGGCTGCCTGGAATTCCCTCAGACACCCCCTGATGTTCTTCACTTTGTCACAGTCCTGTACAGCGACATGGGGGAGGCCGTAGAGAGGCTTCGGGTCAGACTCGATTTTGAAGCTCAGCAGCAAGCCAAGGAAAATGGCAGCACCGGCAAACAAGGCAGCGCCAGCAGCAATGGGGACAGTGGAATTGGAAATGCATCACCCCCTGAGGAGAGAGCAGATAGAGATTTCCCTTCTCCAATCCAAACCCATCCTGGGGCCCACCTCCCCAGCTGTCCGTGGGATTATCCTGCGTCTGGAGACCTCACCCCAATAAACCTCACAAAGAATGGCCAAAAACCTAATCCAGAGACCAATGGCAGCACACATTCCCTTTCAGAGTCTCTACCTGGTCCTGACTCTCTAACCAGCTTTTATGGAGGTCCCCCACCCAGGCTCAAGTTCCAGTTCAAGCCCCCGCCCCCTCCTCTGCCTTTGAGTAAAAAAACAAACTTCTTTGCAGACCCTCTCAGAGGTAGTCAAAGGTGGTTCTCAAAGCCAAAGGTGCAAAAAGCACAAAGTAGTGATCTTTTACCTCAGGTGACGACCAATTGCAACAACTGGTCTTCTAGCATAAGCCACAGTGCTAGCACAAATAACCTGCCTCCCCCAATGAGCCAGATCCCCCCCAACAGGTACCGGTCAGCAGAGGTCATGATGATGCCTCCCCGAGAGGAATGGACAAAACAGTTTCTTGAGCAGAGAGAAAAACAGCGGAAAGATGTTAATACTAAAAATGTAAGTAAGAAACTCTTATTAAGCCTAAATTTGAAAAACTGCATATCTTACATTGGTACATGCTGTCTGGATCAGCTCACACAGGTAATGTAAAGGCCAAATAAGGACTTCCAAAACAGTTCAAACAAAGCAATTGTTGTATTTGTTGCAACAGTTGATAACCAGTTAATAACTGAACAGACATAACATTTCATAGAAATCCTGGAGAGCTCAAAAAGAAAAGAGTTTATCTTTTTATATCTTCTCACACTGTTGATGCAGCCATTCAGAACTTGCACTATTTAATTTGCCAGTATTTATTGATAATCACAAGATCATCATTCAGTCATTAAAAAGGCAATTTAAGCCATTATGCAGGTAGCCTAACCTTGTGTTTAAGCAAAGAATTGCATATTTGAATACAAGTTTTAACTCAGATTGTTCATAGAAGGGGATATAGGTGTGTCGAACTAAATGAGAAAGTTGTTAAAATAACCTGCTTCCTAAAACAAAGTACATTTAAGACACTTGTATTTTCAGCTTCGGGCGTATGATTGGTAAATGTGTGGCCCCTTGGCACTTCAATTCTTCAAATCTGTCCTTTCTAAAAATAATAAATAAATTGATTAACCCTGCTCAAGAACAAAGACAAAGTTTTCCATCAAAACATACTTCAATTGTGTAGCAGAATTATGTTTACTCTGGTTCCTGTCACGTCCTCTTTTATGTTAACAAGTCTGTTTGTAGGGACTTCAATTCTGGTCTAAACAAACTGCATCTGAAACAATAAGCAGTCAATCAGTGACAATTTGACTGTATTGCAAGAACAATAACGGGAAATGGCTTCAAATATATTACAGTAGAGTCTCTGCTATCTCTTCTGTAGCTAGAATATGTGAAAATGTACACAAACAGTATATGCAGTATGATGTTAATGTTGTAGCTTATGGGGACAACTTCTACCCATTTTTTCTTAAAACTTGATATGTGTTTTAGCCTTAAGGAGAATTCCTTACATCTAGTAGCCCCATTGTAAGCAGAGTCACACTGAGACAACAGCATCTGTTTCTGTACTTCTCTCCAGTTTAACACAGGAAGTTTTAAATGGGCACATGGAGTTGAGTTTCCAGACACTGAGGGGGTGTTTTTGGTGGCACATAAAACGAAACACAATACCACTATTTCAACAGGCAATTGGTGCTGAGTGTGAATTTAGTGTAGAAAGCACCTGTTGTAAGTCAATGATGTCATTGTCATGAATTTGTGAAGAGGAAGATAGCAGTGTATTAATGCTACTGTCCTCATTGCCCACAAGATGGCCCTGTGTATCCATGTAGCCCCGGAAATTAGCCTCCCTCAGGAAATCCGTGACTGTGTGTGTGTGTGTGTGTGTGTGTGTGTGTGTGTGTGTGTAGTATTTCCCATTAATTTTTTCTTATTCATGGAAATGCATGCAGGTGGTTATTTGTCCGAATATAAATCTAACATTCTGGGAATTTGACTTTATGTTCAGTGTTTTTGTATAGAATTGAGCCACAAAATGTACAGTTTTTTTAGCTTCCATTTACTGCATTTATTCATCTTTTAACTGCATTCTGTATAACAGTAATTTATTGTGTTTATGAATCACAGTTCATTGTGTCCTTGTCCCCCAGCTTGCGTTACATCAGACTGCAATCTTGTCACAGGAAGCCTGGCAAATTACAGGGTAGAGCCGTTCATGCCATGCAGCGGTCATTATCTGCAGCTCTTGAACTCTTGTTCAAACATTGGACACAGCCTCTCCACTCATAAGAATAGGGGAGGCTGGTTAAACTGCAACTTCTTTTCTAAAGTCGTGGGCACAGGGGTTGAAGCTAATCTCTTGCTGAGACTGTGAAATAAGTGCTTCTGTCTCTGTACTTTGGAAACAGGATTGGAGTAGTTCTAGGTCTATGAATACATGTTGTTATAACTAGGACTGACCTAAAAGTCACTTTGGCAGGAGTAAAACTTCTTCAGTATTTGTTCTTAACACATTTTACATCACCCAAAGCTTCATTTAATACTTGAGCATGGGAGGGATACAGGTTACTATTTTTATGCATAACATTTTTTTAATGATCAAGATCAAAACTAGTTACCACATTGAAATGCAAAAAATTCAAGCCTGAGATTTATGCTGTTATGGTCTTAGTGTCATCTCACACTACTTTTTTTCTCACAGGGCTCCAGGTTCTGGGGTATGGGTGTTGGCCGTGCTTCTAAACGCCGCTCATCCAAACGTCTCAGCCTGGCAAGATCACTGGATGACCTTGAGGTAGGCACCAAGTTATTCATTGTATTCATTGTTTCACCATTTTTACTTTTCTTTTTTGTCCTGTCATCAGAACATTTATACATTTTGTGTTTCATTTGATTTATTATGCCTTCATTGCTACATTAACAATGAGAAAAGTGAAACATCATCAGCAGTTTCCTAGATCTTCTGTGTCATGCAAAGCTGATCAATTTCTTCTGGATGCAGAAGAATATGCATCACTAATGTGGCTATTCATTGAGCCATCCACCTTTCAACTCTTCCTTAACTTTTCATTTCCGTTGCCTTGAACTCTGAGTTTGCTGCTTGTGGCACAGGGTGGCTAACAAAGTGCTCTTTGTGTGGACCAGCGCCACTCTCCTGTTTGTATGGCCTCGCTAATGAGCTCTGCTTTTGCGACTGACTATCGTGCTCACATTTTCTATTAATGTCACCGAGGAACTCTCCTCTTCTCCAGTGGGCTCCTAGCATGCAGGGATTACTCATGCACACTGATTCACATTCACAGAAACACACGCACACTGTTCCTACCACTCATAATTGCTATGAAAGCACAGGAACAGACACAAAAAAAACAAACCAAAAAAGAGGCATACAGTATTGTGTATCTATGCAGGCATGAGTCACAGTCGCACACAGACACACCCGAAGACCACACATTGTACCTAAAGAGGGATCTCCACACTACCAGTATTATTGTTGATTCGCTCCAGTTTCTTAGCACGTCTGTCCCACATCCTCACCCAAAGAATTACAGATGGCTATAAAAGGTTATGACAGCTGCAGGGTTGCTACTTGCACATAACTTTTATGCCTTCTTGTTGATTTACTGTCGACTAAAGACTGTATTATGCTTATGTCCTTCAAACAAAAGTGCTCTAAATCCCAAAGTTCTAGTCCCCCTCCAGTCTTGCTGTATGTTCACATTGGGAGTTACTTTCTTGCAGAGTTACAAAGTTGTTTTGGTGCATTTTAGGTTTTTCATTTTATTTAGTTGCTATGGTTATAGTTTCCTAAAAGTTGCAAATGAGTATCTTTGTCGGGGCAAACAACTGATGCAGCTATTGCCAACACATAATGAGACGTTTTTCACACTTCAGGCTGTTGAAATCTGTTCTCTACTTTACACTGATTATGTGGAGCCTTTATGAACATTGGCTGGATAATGGGAATGCTTTCACTTTTGTAGGATTGTTTGAGTTCTCTCTCTCACACCTCAAGTTGGCTTTGTTACACAATGTTTGCACATCTGTAATACCTGGCCTCCACACCTCTGCTCTATCAGGAGCTCCTGTGACACAATCAGGGAGGGAGAGACACGCTCAGGCTGGTGGTTTCAGTGATTTAAGAAAAAATAAACACACTAGCCTTTCATCATGTAAGCATCATGGATAAAATGTCTTCTGGACAGTTTGTCTTTCTGAAATAATTTGCTACAAACAGTTTAAGTTTACTCAGCTATTAATGCTTCTTTAAAAGGCAGAATGTTGTCCATGTAAACATAGTTTTTGTTAAACGAGGTTAATCTGAATTTCTATGTTAGCATTTCTATTTCAAACGTATCTTGTTTTTAAATTTGCATTGAAGGAAGCAGGCTAGATAACTGCATGTTTCTGCAGGTATATCTTTAGAGGAGGATTATATTGTCTGCTTGTGGCAGCTGGACCACAGACTTTATCGAAACACTGACAGGAATCTGTTCCTGTCTCAGGTGTCTGCTATTTGTTTTGCACAGATCCAGTTTAACTACAGTGATTCCGATAAACAGTGTTGGATGTTCAAATGACCTTTCTGAAACTTGGCAAGCTTACATTATCAGTGAGTAAGAGAGGGTGTTAGGGAATCACTGTGGATGTTTGTGTGATTAAAAATAAACATGCTTTCTATGGGTATCTGATACACCCCTAGATATATAGAAATGGTCCACGGTTGCATACAAAGAAAGAAAACGATGGATCCATATAGTCAGCTACATCGATTAACAGATGTATCTTTCTATCTGTGTATTTTTTTTTGGAATATATATTCATAATATATTCAAGTGCAACACATGACTAGATTAGAGAGAAATCAGCCAGTCAAAGAGGCGCAGCCAAAATCGCCACACCCCCAAAGTTCATGTAACAGATTGTATCAAATGTAATATTGTCTCATATCAGTCCCATGCCCCTTAATTGAATCAAATCCAAACAGTATTAGGGCGGACTTTCTATTCTCAGCATGTGTTGCATGGTTTTTTGAAGAGATGATATAATATCACACCGTGGAAAAAAGATTTACTCCTCTGCTTCCCAGTAGACTCTACATGTACGTCGATGTAATGTCCAAACTGTCTAAACAATACCTTGGTAAGGTTCGATAATTTTATATTAAGCCAAAATATTACTCCCTATGACATCAATTCAATCAATATAAAAAAGTCTTCATGCTGCATCCAGGCCAAACATATTTACACCGCATCTAATCAAAAACAGTAAGACACTATATGTGGTCCTGAGTTATGGGAGGCCTGTACACTCCAGGTAATAACACTGGAAGGAAAGTTTTTTTTATGGCAGTCAAAGGCAATCAGATCCTCACCTAGAACTTGGCCCTGGTGTCTTGTTTTAAGGGCCAACTTCACCCTAAGTTCACGGTCAGAGATCGGATGATGCACTTCTAAAACCTCCTACGTCAACCAGCGAAAGCCCATCCAATTGCATTACCAATTAGATTATACCCTTTTTAAGGACTTCCTTATGTACAAAACATTACATTTTTGCGAGAGATTTTATGAACTGCTTGTGTTCTTGTTAGAAGCAGATCATATGAACTAGAGACAGAATAAAAGGCAAACCTTAACTCTTTTAAAGGCTGTGTTCCACTTTCGGAAACGATCAACCTATCAAGCCTATTAACTCCAAAAAGCTGTTGACCTTGATGTCTCCTTGCTCATTGTGTGAAAGTAGTGCTGATAAAAGCTGGAGGAGTTGAAGTGTTAGTCTTCTGCAGCTCCCGTTGAGTTGCTTTTTGGGATTTTACGAGGGGATTGCTCTCATGGCATGTTCCGCTAAAATCTGTGATAAGCTTTCGTTCAGTGCTTGCAACTGGACTTGCAAGGAAACTGTTGCACCATTTGGGAGTTCACAATGGATGCTCAGGTCAGATAACCACTGTGGACAAACCCTGAAAAATGTGGACCTTGGGGCTGCGTTTCCTCTGTCATGATAGCATGCTTGTTATTTCTCTTCACAATATAGCTCTGACACAAAGCTTCTGTTACCCACGCTCTAAGTCAGAGTAGCGCATATAATAATCTTGCGCTATTTGATGCTTTTCTGGTTCATTAGAGGGAGAAGCGACTGTATAATTCTGTGTGTGCTGATTTGTTTTCCCAAAGAGTGCTTTGATGCACACTGAGCCTTTGGTTGTCATATTCCCTTATGTGTAGACTTGTCAAAGAATGTGCTGCTTTGTATCTCACTGCCTTGTTTCCCTACTATAATCGTACTCATCACAGACTCCCTGTTTCTCGCCCCAAAGCAGATACTCTGTGGTATGTACACAACTTTGAATAGGTGACACCATTAGGAGGCTTCTGTGCTCACTGCCTCTGTCTTCTGAGGAGTTGTTGCATTTGCATCTGTTCATGCACATTTTTCTAATTAAACATACTCAAGGTGCCTGCTGGTAAATTTGAGGTACCTCTTCTGCTCCCTTGAGAATTAAGTTCTTCCTCTCCTTTTAGGTGTGGAGACATTAGTAGGTCTTGTTTGCTCGCCTGCGGGTAATATCCAGTGGGCGTAGCAAGGGAAGGCATGAAGACATAGACAGGGAGGGAAAGAGGAGGAATTTACAGCAAAGAGAGATAGATAGAGAGAGAGAGAGGAACCGGCAGCAGAGGAAGAGAGAGAGGAGCTTTTGAACTCCCAGAAGCTGTCAGGATTTCGGCTCCCCCTCGCGCTGCCTCCTCCTCCCCCCGCCTCCCGTTCCTTCTCTGTCTCTCTGCACTGCAAACACCACCGACTCACACACGCACCGCGGAGCCTCAGCGGATGGACTCGTTTACACACACCAGGCGTGTGGAGCAGCGCTGAAGACGAGCCAAACACACACACACGGTGCCATACATGGAGCAAACTTTAACTCTCAACTCTGTAAGTGTTTAGAAATCTTGAGTCTTCATTTTTTTCTGTCTGTCTCTTCTGCTTGCTGATGCCATCTTCATCCAGCGGCATCTTTCCCTGCCAACGTTACTTTTTCCTTCTTTGGGCTCTTTGTGGCTCCTGTTGTAGCCTTTGAGTGGTGTACAGTGGTTAGCTTGTGTGGTCTGTCAGAGGAATGTTTTGACCAGTGCCAGCTGAACTCTCATGTGCTGAATGACACACACTGCGCCGCTGTAAAGAGCAAAATGTGGTCCAGCATCTATATCGGGATGCGCGCTGACTTCAAATTAGACGCCGCACTGAAAGGGTTTTGTGAAGTGACCCCAGGATTATTCTTGTGCCCTGAACATCAAGGGGCCTTTGAATAAAGTCTGCTCTGAAATGACCCTTTTCACACTGGGAGAAGTTGGATTTAGTGTTGAGGAAACCGAGATCAAGGTTGTTGCTTTCAAATGTGAAATGAATGCTCCGAAAATGTTCATAAGATTAGTGTTTTTTAGGCGATCACGTAACAGCCGCCGCAGTTTAGTTTGAACTTGAGAAGCTTGCTGTGGTTTTGCCTTGCCCCAGTTGGCTTTGTGCAGGCATGTCCTCGCTCTGATTCACCAGCTCTTATATTCACATATCTTACTTTAACACTTTTGGTGTGGTGCTGCATGATATCTCTTGCACAAACGATATGTCTTAAAGAAACTCATACACAGTATATTACCAACACAGCAATGCTATTATTAATATAACAATAGCTGCTAAAATTAGATGCCATCACTAATGATATCAATTCTGTCATGTACTTGTAGCTGCAGGTGTTGTGACTTTGGAAGAGAACAGGAATAGTGTGTTACTGGGGATTAG